GGTGGCTGGTATGGAGCAGGGGTCGCCAGCCTTTTGGACCGCAGGGACCACCAAACTCATCGTTTCAAATCCCGCGGTCCAGGGACCCTGGGAAAATACCCCCCCCCCCCCAAAAAAAACAAAGTCTGCAGGAAAATTCCCCACCCCATTTTCCGATCGTTCTTTATTTGGGATCGCAGGAAAGCTCTCCAGCTCCATTCTTTGGGGGGGGGGGGGGGGGGGGGGAGAAAGAGAAGAGAGACTTTTGCCTTCTTGCAAGGAAAGCAGCAGAAGCTGCAGAAGTCTTTATTTCTCTCCCCCCAAACTCAGCCAGAAATGACTCTGTGAGAATTGTTGTACAAGCGCAGCCTTTTGGAGCAGGAGGCCTTGCAGGGTCCCAAAGATTCGTTTCTGGCAGAGTTTGGGGGAGAGAAAGAAACACTTTTGCTGCTTTCCTTGAGGGCAGCCAAAAGCAGAAGAAGAAAGAAGTGGAAGGAAGCAGCCCAGCGGCCAGGCGCATGGGGCGAGTGGGGCACCCTTTCCCCCCTCCCCTCACTACCTCCTGTTGTTCATAATGCAAGCGATGCAAGCCTTGTGTTCCCCTGGGCCATGGGTTCCCCTGGTCAGCCTGGATTAATTGCTTTGGGGGTGACATTTTTCTGCGGATCACCAAAATTTTCTCACGGACCACCAGTGGTGCCCAGCCCATGTGAAAGTGGTCTAACAGAGCAGATCTCTGTTAATAAAGCAGAATCCTCCCTCTGGCCCTTTTCCTTTTCAGAAAGATTTGGCCTTGGGCTGGCTTGAAAGTATGACAGATCATGCCACCAGTTTTGTACCTCTTCTGACAATATTGCTTTCGTAAAGCACCAGTGGTGTAGCTATGAGCAGATATTTTATCTGTTTGTTTGTATACGGTACTTATTGTTCCTGTAAGTAGGAAAAGTAGTTCTTTTTCACATATTCATACCACATGAATATTACAAACCTGTAAATGTGGTTGGTCTTAACATAAAACATTCTTTTGTACTTAGGAACAGCAATCAACAACTTACGTTAAGTTAATTCTGGGTTGCTTTTTTCTCCTCTCATACCTGAGTTTCTTATGAAAATGAGTATTTCAAATGATAGTTTTGATTAAAATCTGTTTGCTGATTATTTACATTGCATTTATTGAGGAACATATACGTTTGAAATAATGTGATTCCTTGTGTTTGCATACCCAAATTTAAGCTGCGTGTTTTGCTCATCAAATGTTCAGGCTTCCAGCCTTCAAATGTAAGAAAGTATATTTGAACAAATCTCTGTGTGTTACAGTGTAAGTTTTTGTGGACTAGTTCACAAACAGATTTAACAAAGGTCTGGTGTCAAAAAGTATCAAATTGTGTATAATGATAAATTCAGCACTTCTATACCTAGTGATCACAGAAGATTTTAATGAGTATTTTTTGCACTCAAAAACAAATACATTCATTGGGGTAAAAGATAATACCATAATGAATTGAGCACTATAATCTTATAGTCTACCCAAGACTCCTTTTGTGGCAATAGGTTAACCCAACTATTTTTCCATAAAATCTTTACATCTGCTTCCACTACCAGACACTGGCTTTAATCTCTTCCAAACTGCTTTGCTAAAACCCTTCCAACCAAAATAGGATTGTACAGCAGATTTACTTAGGCGGTTTTGTAAATATAGCAAATGAGTTGATGTAGATGAAGCATGTCTCGACTATATTGTGAATAGGCTATTTTTTAACTGCCTTTCTTCCCTTAGAAGAAGGGGATGATTCCTTTCGGAGAATATTAAGATCTTAGTTTGATCTGTTACAATATTTCCATGCTGATTGCCACTCTTTCAATTGGAAATATAATCCAAGCTATAGGATATTCTCTTCCCGCATTTCCTTTGTGCTTTTCCAGCATGTGATTTCTTTTGGAACAGTGCGATGGCACCATTTTTTTTTTTTAAAATGTTTTTACTTGGTTTTTTTCCAGCACACTCTGTAATAACAGTGGTTTTATCTGTTCTGAGGAATTATAATAGTTATCTTAACAATTGGCTGATGCTAATTGTTTTTAAAACACTGATTTAAAAAGACAAAACTAAGAATTCCTTTATGTTTTAGAGAAGATTTAAAAAGAGATTTTTCCGTGTATCCTTCTTGTGCAGAGACTTTGCAATCTGTCTCTATGCCATTGCTCTGCATATCTGCATTAATTCTTGTTTCATGCTTCTGGAACCAACCAGAGTGGAAATGGCAGTCTTTGTCTCACTAGCACCCCCTTCTCCATCTTAATAGGATCTAATCGCAACAGTGCAGCTGTTGTGCTTTCAGGATCTTCTTACATCAAGTGAATCTTAACTGGCTGGAAATAAGTACTGTAGTCAGAACGTAGAACAAAGAGCCAGGATTTGTTACTTACTTTGTTTTTCTTCTCTCAGTAAGGTGGAAGTGTTCTTGCTCTGAGGACCAAGCAAATTCTATATTGGAAGAAAATGTATTTTCTTTTCCATACCAGTTGGAAGATCTGTAGTTTAATTTTGCTGGAAGGCACTGTTATTCATTCATTTTCAGTTTTGTATTAAGGGGTATTCTTACCCATGAGAAGCATTTACATATCCTTTTAAATGAAATCAGTTACCTCACAGCTCTAAATTCCATTTGTTGAAACAAAGATGAAAAACAAGATTTAGAAGAACTTATCTTAAATTGTTGATTTCTACAGTTGAATTCTTGACAATCATCATCCCTTTTCTATCAGTTGCTTGTTGTTCCCTGTTATCTCTGGGTTGCTAGACTAAAGAATATAACAATGTCAGAATAATTCCCTTCTCAGAGTTTCATGTCTATTTCAATGCTTGTTGCCTTTGACACATTTATTCCTTTCTGAAGAATTGGAATTAAGTGCTTATTTTTCTGAAACCAGAAAGTCGTCTTTATGTAAAAACACCAACTTTTGATGCTTAAGGAAAGCAGTACTTGCAAGGGCAAAGTCATTTATTCCTCAAAGGAATAAATGTGTCAAAGGCATCAAGCTTTGTGGGGAGTTAAATTCTGCCAGTTAAATTCCATTTCCACCAATAAAAGAGAACCTTGCTGGCTTTGAGGGCCCATGGATAGTTTTACCTCATTTTATCCTGTATTTGGCCACATCAAACAAGCTTTTCAACTCTTTATTTCCTTGTGACCCCGCTTTTGGATTTTGCCCTCTCTTTGAATGTTTTCTGACCAAAAATATCTCTGTATGTAGCACGTAAGTTCTACATCAAGAGAGGGCAGCTTACCCAGTGATTGGGCTGAATTGGTAAAATATGTAAGGGTCCCCAGTGCATGGTCTATGGAGTGTGATCGGGCTGTGGTGCGGCATGCCAGCAACTGGGCCACACAAACAAACAAAGCCCCATCCACAAGATGCAGGCAGCACACAAAACCATGCCCTCCCTGGTCCGTGGAAAAACCTTTCTCCATGGAACCAGTTCCCGTACCCAAAAGATTGGGAGCCACTGCTGTACAACAACGAACTTTTAAAGCAGTTTCTTCTACTACTATTGGAGGATTTTTAAAAGATTAATTGCTATGTTATTTTTTTTTCATGGGAAAACTGGAACAGTGGAAAAACCATTTTTCTGTTGCAGGCACATTTACCAGGCTCCCCCTCCATAGCATTTAGGGTTAAAAATAGCCCTATTACATCAACAACAATGGCTACATTAAAGAATTGCTGATGGTTGAACACAGAAGCTTTTCTAACTAAGTTGAGATGTGAAATTTGGAGAGAAAAAATGGGAGCTTTGCTTATTTTTGAAGAATTAGAAATAAATGCTTATTTTTCCTGAAACCAGAAAGCCTTTTTTATGCAAAAACACCAACTTTTGATGCTTAGGGAAAGCAATACTTGCAAGGGCAAAGTGATTTATTCCTCAAAGAAACCCCTGCCTTTGACCTTGAGCTCTCTTGTTGACTTTTGTAAAAGTTGCTTTTCCTTTAGGCATCAGAATGCAAAAATGGAAACAACATTTATATTCTTAAAGGGATTAGAAGCACAAAAAAAATCATTGTTTTGTTCAGGCTAACAAAGTTCATTTAAAGCCTTTAGCATTCACAGGAAGTCCTTCTCATGCTTTTTGAATCCCAATAAATCCAGAAAAGATAAATATGTACAAAGTAGCCAAAAGGAAGCATTTTGTTGAAAAATATGGCTTTAAAACTCAATATGCTGTAGTATATATTGCATATTATATATATTATATATAGCTATGCAAATTAGAATTGAATTCTTATAAATTCTTAATACATTTGTGGGGATATGTCTCATTCAAATATACATTGGTTAGAATCTCTCTATATAAAAGCGAAATACCACTCACACATCATCAAAAAATTTCCAGAACTGAAAAGCCTACAAACTTGAAATTAGGCACGTACGTTCCTCTTGGCTTCTAGGTGCTCACTGAGAAAGGATTTTTCGAAATGACCATCAGCATTAGTATTTTGTATGTTATTATTAATACACTCTGATGCTGAGTTCTACTCCCCCTCCCCACGTGAAAAAAAAATCTGTTCCAAATACAAGCAGAGGAGAGGAGTTTCAGTTTTACGGCAGCAAGCAGCTTTAGTACAGAACAGTTGAGCTAAGCCACACCCAGGCTCCTTGCTCACACAGCAAATATCGTTTCACTTTCCAAATAGCCCTCAACTTTCTCACACTGACAGGATGCTAGCCAGATCAATACCGATGGTAAGCAGAGGCAGAAATTTTTTCCCCCTTATTTTCCTCCCCCAAAATTAAGCCCGGCATAGTTTCGTAGCGAAGCACGGGTATCGAGCTAGTTTAATATATGAGCTATGAGGTTTTGATCCAATCAAAATTCTTGATGTCTTTATACAATGTGATCTTCTTTTGCCCTTCCCCTCTATTTCCCCCCCCTTCATTTCTTTTGGATTCCAGTCTTCCAGTTTGTAGATCCTTTTTTCAGATTCCTTATCTCTAGATAATTCTGGGTCTGTTCTCCATGGAGCTGCTGCGAGCATCCAGACAGTGGGAGGTGCTCCAGTCTTCACTCTAACAGGCTGAGCTGAAATTGAGGAACGCTTCTCCTCCTCCACGTGACTCCTCCACGCGTTCCCCCAGTTTTAGCTCAGCCTCGCTAGAGTCAGGCAGCTGGATTTCTTGCTCCTTGGCCGATCCAGGTTCTTAGCTGTTTCAAAATCAGGTTTGATCTCTCCTTTCCTTGTCCTTTGCGCTTGTAGTTTGTTTGTCTTAAATATTACTGGAGGAACGCTTTCTTTTCGTCCCTCAAGGGGGGAAATAGGGGGATTTGGAGCCCTTTGCCCCACCCCTCCTCCGTTTTTTTCATTCTGCCGTTTTTCAAGCCGCGCTGCAGCTGAGTAGCGGCTTGAGATCGCGCCCCAGATAGCGCGGAGTTGCGCCTTCCCCCCACAAACGCCTAGAAGCAAAAGCTTCTTCTTTTAGCCCTCGTTCCTTTTCCAGCCGCTTTTTTGGTGTGCTAGAGGGTTGTGCGTCTCTGAGGTTATAGCGCCGGAATCGGCGGCCATTTTGGGCGCGCCTCGTGGCCGGCCGCCATTTTGGAATTGGTCTTTGCTATCTCTCCGATCGGGCTGCGAGGGTTTTAAAGGCCCATAGCGGGACCGGCAGGCCGTGTGGTGCCTAATTGTTAAGGGTAGTGTGGTTCAGTGCCCAGTTGCCCTTCTCAAATTATTTCTAGTTGGCTTTCTTCTCCGCAGCTCGCCCAGAGACGTAGGCACTTACTTCCCATTTTTGTTGGGAGGCTGCCTCTGGAGGCCCCATCCTTTTTTTCCATTGTTGATTATTCCTTTCTGGCCTCTGCGTTCATTTGGTGTATTGGATGGTTAGGATTTAATTTTTAAAATTTTTTTGTTCCTTTATCCTTGGTAAGCAATATTTTGAAAGCAGCTTATTATTAAGCCCTCCTTTTGTTTGGAATTGATTGGTATTTTTTGGGTCCCGCCCACAAAAAATAAAAATAAATAAATAAATAAATAATAATTAAAATTAAAATTAAAAATAATAAAATATATTATAATAAAAAAAAATTTATCCAAAAGGGGGACGCGGCCCAACTATAGGAAAGCCGGCCTGCGTTGTAGGTCGAACTCCCAGGCGTGCCAACCGCCCTTTTTTTCTGATCTGATATCTTTTTGTGTCATGGCAGAAGGCAATCCCAGTGGCCCTTCTTTGAAGGCAAAGTCAAAAACGCACTATCTGCGCAAAAGGGACAAGGACTCCTCCAAGGCCTCTCAAATGGATGCCTTATGGCGTCATAAGGCCTTGGAGAAGGAGTTTGACAAACGATCTAAAGACTCGCATTCTGTAACTCCTGCCCTGCCCTCTACCTCTATTCAACCCCCTCCCTTGTCAGGTCATCCCTCTCCTTCCGGGTGTTCACCCGCACGTAGTCACCAGGCTTCTCGCACGCCTGAGGCCACTTTCACACCAACTGCAGCGGGCCTACGCCCAGAAAACCTGTCCTCATCCATTATTCCGGACAGCATTAGAGAGTGGATGCAGCTGGCTATCAGACAAGGAATAGCAGAGGGCATTCAACAGTTGTCCAGAACAGGATCCCAAACAATGGCACCCGAGGTCGAGTTGATGTCCGGAAGATCTCTCTCCAGACCGCCATCACATCACGGTCAGGTACCTTCCCAAGTGGAAGCCCCCTTCCCGGAAGGGGAGGTGAGCCAGGAAGAGGAAGAAATGGGGTTTGAACCCTTCAGGGAAGAGGAAGGTTCAGACAGGGGGTCAATTCAATATTCAGAACCATTTTTCGAGGTAGACCCCATGGAAGGGGAGATGTCCGAGGATGAGGGCATTTCCCCTGACCAGCCAGTATTCGTAGGCCTATTTAAGCCTCACTTGTTTAAGTCCTTGCTATTCAAGGCAAAGAATGTCTCAGGCCTGGCTTCCCAGTCTCCTTCTGAACCATCACCAGCGATCCCGGGGGAACCAGAAGACTCAGTTTTCAGACAGCCGGTCATCGAAACCGAGGTCATTCCAACTCCCCCAATTTTTTCCGATTTGGTTGCAAGGCAATGGGCCTCTGCGGGCCCCCCTCCTGCTCCTTCCAGTCAAGACAAGAGATTGTTTAATCTCGACTCGGAGTTTTCTAACATGCTAAACACTCCGGAGGTAGACGATCCCATAGTGAGACTAGCATCCTCATCCAACCTCACTGACGCTTTAGAAGCGCTGAAGCTGGAGGATAAGTGAGCTGAGATGGCTCTGCGACGAGCGCACCAGTCGGATGCTTGGGCCATCCGGTCGGCCACAGCCGCGTCATTTTTCACCCGATCTTCTATCAGGTGGCTCAGGCAGTTAAAACAGCATGTCCCCCCGTCAAACACTAGAGCACATCAGGACATTGCAAAACTCACGGCCGCAGCAGAGTTCGCGGCCGATGCCACTTTTCATTCCGTGAAATTTTCCGCTAGGGCCATCTCCTCGCACGTTTCTGCCCGTAGGCTACTCTGGCTTCGGCACTGGCAGGCCGATGTCAAGAATAAAGCCAAATTGGCCTCAGCTCCTATAGCAGGGGGGAAATTGTTTGGCCCAGCACTTGAGCCGCTGCTGATGGAGAGCCGGAATAAGAAGAAGTTCCTCCCATCGCTTTTTCGAAGGCAAGAGTCTAGAGGGTCTCAGTCCTTTCAGAGGGGCTCCTTTCGATCCTCCTTTCCACCGGTTTTCACCCCTAGGTATCAGGGCTCCCCGATGTTCCGGTCGACCTATCAGGACCGGAGCGACTCGGGGGATAGAAATAGAAGGGGAGGCTCCTACAGGAGACCCTTCCGGGGCGCAGGGAATAAAGCTCCCCGCCGTCCCAGGTAGCCCTTCAATTTCTTATCCCATTGGCGGTCGCCTTAAGTACTTTGCCGACCAGTGGGACTTATCCACGTCAGATTCCTGGGTTAGGGACACTGTAAGGTTTGGTCTCCCTCTCCAGTTCCAATCGGCTCCCCCGGAGCACTTTATGGTTTCTCCCCTTTCCAGAGACCCGACTAAGCGGGCTCTCATGGCAACCGCTATTTCTCATCTGTCCGATATCAAGGCCATCCAGCCCGTGCCTTTGTCACAACGGGGAAGGGGGTTCTACTCCCTTCTCTTCTTGGTCCCAAAGCACTCTGGCGGTTGGAGACCCATTTTAGATCTGAAAAGGCTCAACCGCCATATTATTCGACACAAGTTCAAAATGCATACACTTCAGTCGATCTTACAGGGCACTAGGACGGGAGACTGGCTTACATCCATCGACCTCTCCGAGGCGTACCTCCATATACCCATTCACCCCTCGTACTCCAAGTATTTGAGATTTTGCTATAACAATCAACATTTCCAATACGTAGCCCTTCCCTTTGGCCTCGTTTCGGCCCCGAGGACCTTCACCAAGGTGCTGGCGGCCCTGGCGGCTCACCTTAGTCATTTCCCTATCTGCATTCACTGCTACCTTGACAATATTCTTATTTTGTCCCCTACCCGACACCAAGCCGAGAGTGACACTAACACCACCCTCTCAGTACTTCAGGCTCATGGATTCCTAGTTAACTGGGAGAGAGCCAACTTAACCCTTCCACCCGTATAGCACACTTGGGAGCTGTGATTGATTCGGTGGAAGGGAGGGTCTTCCTCTCCCAAGAGAGGTTTACCAGCATCCAACGAGTGATTAGGGTAATCAGACAGAATGGTAAGGCATCGTTGCTGGACTTGTCCAAGTTGCTTGGAAAGTTAGTCTCATGTATTTCAATTATCCCCGGGCACGCTTACATTCCAGATCCTTGCAATGGTTCCTCCTGCCTTACCAACGTTCCAGAAGGAGCAACTCAGGCCTCGTGGTGAAGGTTCCTCCAAGGGTTCTCGCCTCCCTCCTCTGGTGGACAAGACCCTCTACCAACAGAGGCCATCTCTTCAAGGAGCCCCAAAGGGTCACTCTCACAACAGACGCCAGCCTTTCTGGATGGGGAGCCCACATGCAGTCGCTTTCAGCACAGGGAACTTGGTCAGCGACCGAGCGGCGCTGCAGCATCAACTGGCTAGAGCTCCACACAGTATATCTAGCACTGCGCGCCTTCCTCCCCCAGGTGCGAGGCCGTCACATTCTGGTCTTAACAGACAACACTACGACCAAGGCCCACATCAATCGTCAAGGGGGCACTCATTCTATTCGACTCATGAGGGAGGCCGAGCGGATTTGTCGATGGGCAGAGAGGCATCTCTTATCCATCAGAGCAGAGCACATCTTGGGGGCCTCGAATATCCAAGCAGATTGGCTGAGCAGGGCCACACTGGACCAATCGGAATGGCGCCTACACCCCTCCTTGTTCAGGGAGGCAGCAGCGATATTCGGTCAGCCCTTGGACCTGTTCGCATCTCCACTCAACGCCCAGACACCGAGGTTCTTCTCTCGTTACCCTGCCAACGGCGCAGAGAACCACGATGCCCTGCGCTGTCCCTGGCCCACCGGCCTTCTGTACGCCTTTCCTCCTCTTCCGTTGATACCCAAGGTGATTCAGAAGTTGATTCTCGAAAGGGCGGAGGTCCTTCTGGTAGCCCCGTATTGGCCCAGGAGACCGTGGTTTGCGGATCTTCGCAATCTGTCAGTGGCTCCGCCGTGGAGGTTCCCCCTCGACAGGATCTCTCTGTCCCAGGGACCTCTTCAACATCCAGACCCACAGTGGCTTCAACTAGCCGTCTGGAGGTTGAGCGGGAGAGGTTAAAGAATGAGGGCTTATCGCCTCAGGTCATCAATACCATCCTGGCAGCGAGGCGGCCTTCGACTACTCGCATTTATGACGCAACCTGGAACATCTTTTGTAAGTGGTGCCATACGTCGTCTGTTAATCCGCTCTCGCCTTCAATCGCCCAGATCTTGGCCTTCCTACAGGTCGGGCTAGAGAGGGGCCTTTCCCCCAACACTCTGAGAAGGCAGGTCGCAGCCCTGTCCACGGTGGTTGCTGGCAGCTCTTCTGTCTCACTTTCCCACCACCCTCGCATAAGGTCTTTCCTTAGAGGGGCCTCTAATCTGCACCCTCCGGTGATCCACAGATATCCTACCTGGGATCTTAATAAAGTTCTTTTGGCATTAACTAAACCTCCTTTCGAGCCTCTCAGGGAGGCGCCACTTCAGTTTCTCACATTCAAAGTGGTGTTCCTTGTGGCGATAACATCAGCAAGAAGGATATCTGAAATAGCAGCTCTATCCGTGAGAAAGGACTTATGTGTCTTCCATACTGATTGGGTGGTTCTGAGACCAGATCCCGCCTTTATGCCTAAAATCAACTCGGCTTTTCACAGATCCCAGGAATTGATTCTGCCTAATTTTTGTCCCAAGCCTTCCCGGGAGAGGGAAAGGCAGTGGCACACTCTCGATGTGCGAAGGGCTCTTCGTATCTACATCTATCGTACACAGTCAATCAGAAAATCAGAGTCTTTATTCCTGTCCTTTCAGCCAAAGACGCTGGGTTGCAAGGTTTCCCCGTCCACTATTGGCCGCTGGATTAGGGCTACTATATCCAAGGCCTATTTGGCACAGGCTCTCCCTGTCCCTTTTGGGGGGTCACTGCTCACTCTACAAGGAGCGCAGCCACCTCGGCAGCCTGGGCTACTCAGGCGTCGATTCAGGATATCTGTCGAGCAGCCACCTGGGCGTCTCCTTCTCCCTTTATACGTCACTATAAGATCGATGTTTACGCCTCCGCTGAGGCTTCCTTTGGCAGGCGAGTCCTTCAACAGGTGGCAAAAGATCCAGAGGTGATTCCGGACCAGACGGAGTCCCTCTCGTAGGACAGGCCATGCTTTGGTATGTCCCACTGTCTGGATGCTCGCAGCAGCTCCACGGAGAATGGGCGTTGGTACCTACCTGATACGCCCGTTCTCGTCGAGCTGTGTAGAGCATCCAGCCCCACCCTAATTGGTCCGTCTGGTGGGTAATCCTGTTTCGGCCAATGATGTATATAGTTCACAGTTGAGACTTGTATTATAGTTGACATGAGAGGATAGTTGTTTTCTTCTCGTCTTCGTAAAACTGGGGGAATGCGTGGAGGAGTCACGTGGAGGAGGAGGAGCGTTCCTCAATTTCAGCTCAGCCTGTTAGAGTGAAGACTGGAGCACCTCCCACTGTCTGGATGCTCTACGCAGCTCGACGAGAACGGGCGTATCAGGTAGGTACCAACGCCCATTTGTGTCTTCCAAGTGCTTGTATATCGGTGACACAGCTGTTCAAAATCTGCTGGTTGAATAGCCTTTCTGCATAATCTCCCTGGATAATGGATAAATGGGCTATGATAAAGGATGTTTTTATTACCACATGCAGATTCTGACATTCTCCCAGAGCTTAACTGGTGAAAACTATTCTGACAGACCTCTGCATAGCTGGATAAATTTTGCTTGTTCTGTATCTAATTTTTATCTGCTTAACATTTTTAATCACATATGCTTTTCCCCTCCTAAGCATTGCTGCTTTATTGTGATGTGGTTTAAGCCAGTTTGAGTGATGGGTAGGTTGTCAGGGTTCTGGCGATTGCCCTAATTAAGACATGAGCTTCAAGCCAAGCTTCAAAAGAATCCCAAAGATTTATTAGGAGCAACATTTTGGCATTATCCCAGTTGAAGCCAACTCTGACACATGTAATTCATGGTCACCTGTGACCCTGTTTCCCCCCTCCCCCTGGGTGTGTCATACATCAGATTCTCCAAGAAGCACGTTCATTGGCTGGGTGTCATCAATCACACTCTCCAATGAAGAATTTTCTTTTTCTTTTTTTAAACAAACTTTATTAATTTTTTTTTACACACACAAACAAAACATAGGATGTAGTGACATAAAATATCTTTTCTAGAAGAAACAAATAAACCATCTTATTTAAAAAGAAGATAATTCCAAATTATCACACTTCTCTTTATTACTCCCTTTCCTTCTATTTAATCATATTTCTTCTGTCTTAAAATTATATACTCATTGAATATATTTTCATTAGTGTTCTTCCACATCCTGTCAGACTTAAACAAACATTACACAAAACCATAAATACATAAAACTTACCCCGTAAGGCGGCTTACCCCGAGTTAACTCTTTTTATACAGACATCAATCAAAATTTATACTCACTTAATATACTATCTCATATCTTATTTAGCATTCTCTATTTTCCATATATTTTCTCTCTCCTACTCATTCTTTTAATTCTATTTTATTTATTCCATCTCAATTAAATAATTATATTTGCATCTTTGGTCCGTTTTCTTTCAATCACCTACTTATCCTTTCTATCTAATACAATATTTCTCCTGTAAACCCAGATTGAAGTATGACAACTTTTTATCTTTCCCCTAAATAACACTTAAAATAATACATATTTTCCGTGCTGATTCTGCTCCGTACATTCAAAGTATTACATTTCAAAATAATAAAACAAACAATGTTGAATTTGATAAGTAATAATAAAACTAAAAAAAAAAGAGTAAAAAAGAAATATTAAATTTATAATATAGTAAAAACAATGTTTCATGGGAAATTAGATTCTATTATTAATTCTTAAACAATAAAGATAATATTTCATAAGAAATTAAACTATAATTAAATCATGGCTTCCCTTTAATACATTTTAAAATCATATAATATTCTAATTTTCTAACTCAGCTTCAAATACTAATGTCTACAATACATTCTTATGTACTTTTGCAGAATCATTTTTTAAAAATTATTTTACCCTTTTTCTCTGAAAAAAAAATCATTTTTTAGCATCTTGTTTAAAGCCTTTATGACTTCTCTTTCCTTTTCCCCTTTCTTCTCCATTCTAACTTTTTGACCCAATGAAGGATTTTCACGGGCAGAAGATCTGGTAGCCTAGCTACAATCTTGGTAAGATAAGCGTGGAATCTACTTCTGGTCCCCTGCTTATGGCAACTCAGAAACAGGCATGCTTTACGAGTTGACATTTGACTCCCCTCACTTCTTGAAGACCTATACAAAGCAAAAACAAATTGAGTGCAGGTATAGAATTTAGGGTTGCTACACCCCCCCCCCCAAGGCTTGGTTGGATTTTCTGCATGGAATCTTGTTATGAGGCGATCAACCTGGACGTTCCTACTCTTCACCCAAGATGCCTCTGATAAGGGGTAGCCCTTCCAATTGATTAAGTATTGGAGTTGTCTCGAATTGAGGATTCGCTGCACCTCATAATGGGTTTGGCCTCCTATGACCATGGGATCTGGGGGCTCACAAGGCAGGGGCCTCAGGGTTGATCTGAGCACGGGTTTTAAGAGGCCACTATGGAATACTGGGTGTATCTTCCCTAGCAATCGGGGCAATTTCAATTGCACTATGACTGGGTTGATGATCTTTACTATGGGGAATGGTCCCATAAACTTTGGTCCCAGTTTCTTGCTAGGGAGTTTTAGATATTTTGTGGAGAGGTAGACCTTCTCCCCCAACTGGAATGGCCGTTGCTGTGCTCGGTGTTTGTCTGCCTGTTTCTTATAGGTCTGCGCTGCTTTAGCTAGCGCTTTTTTAACATTCTCCCAAGTTGCTTTCAGCATTGACATCCAATTGGTCAAACTGACTGATGAGGAGGATCCCTTGGATACTCAATTGTTCTGGTGGGCTCTCTGGGAGGGTTCCCTGCATGAGTGATGCTTCTATTTGCTGATGAGGAGGGGCTTGGGGTCCCCTTGCTATCCTCAGTCTGCGGCTGCCCCCTGCCACCAAATGGTCGGGCCCCACTTATCTAGCCAGGAGAGTCCCAGTATGACTGCATCTGTCATTTTGGGGGCCACTACTAATTGAATGGTTTCCCAGTGATCTGCTAGCTCTAGCCTCACTGGTTCAGTTAAGTGAGTGGCATGGGCCCCTCCCAATAGAGAGCCATCAACTTGTTCGAACCAGATTGGGTGGGCCAGCCTTTTTGCTCTGATCCCCAGTTTCAGGACCATGGTTAGGTTGATCAGGCATCTAGTGCAGCCTGAATCTATTAGGGCTTGGAAAGTCCCCTGAGTCCCTGTTTTTGCGGCTGTGAGTCATACTGGGAAGATGAAAGGGGGGATCAGTCCATTCTTCATTGGGTCGTTTTCGCCCTCGTCCTCTCTGTCATAGGAATCCAGCGACTGGTCATCGTTGCCTGGGGTTCCCCCCCTTTCAGCTTCATGAGGAGGGACCACTGCAGCCTTCGGGCATGCGTTGGTGGCACATCTGGGGCCTCGTTCCCGTTGTGTCCTCGGTGGTGGCTCTGGCCTTAGTTTCAGGGCTGGGATTGCGCATGCCGCTGCCATTCTCCCATGGCTTCGTCGGTGTTGGAAAAAATATACAGTAATTCAGAATATAAATCAATAAATATAGATCCAGGCTCCAATTTTATTTTCCCTGAATATAATTATAATGGTAGATAAATTGACCGCTTCCCTCACAAACTTTGGACATCAAGTTCTCTAAGGAGCTTAATGTTCTTTGCCATCATACCAAGCAACAGCAAAAATCAATACAAATACTTGTAAGTGGGTTCTTGGAGTAGGTTGGATAGTTTGGATTGGTAGTCCAATGTGTTCATCACGACTGTGGCGTTGCCTTTGTCTGCTGGGAGAATGATTATGTTGTTGTCTTTCCTCAAGTTGGTGAGTGTTTTTTGTTCATTAACAGTAATCCAATTCATTCATTCATTCATATCCTGCCTGTATTTTATAATAAATAACTCAATGCGGTGAACCTAAGTCCACCCTCCTCCTGTTTTCCCCATAATAACAACAACCCCAAAGAGGTAGTGGCTTTCATGCTTAAGGCAGGACTAGACCACTAAACCAAATTAGCTGTCTGTTCTCTTGTTCCTTGCCCCTTTCTAAAACCAGCTTTAATATTGGTCGTTTATCTTTCTATGTAGGGTTTTAATGTGCTTTGAAAGATCCTGAGTATTAATTTTGCTATCATGCAAAATTAAGACTATTATGTGATCATTTGCACTCTTATTAATCATCCAATTGATTAACAGAAATTGGTATAATTGGCCACTGTCATTCTCTAGTTTTTCCAGCATTTTTAGTTAGAGCGTTTACTGTTCCTCCTTTTCTTGTTTGCTATATTTCTGTAGATATTACATTAATTCTTATAGCCTTTTACTTGGTAATGATAAAATTTCTTGTGAGAACTTCTTATGGTGGTTGTATTGAGCTCCTGAAGAGTAAATTCTGATGCTGATCATGATTTTGTGTTTATAAATTGATCATGGATAATTTCCATATATTTGTATATTGATTTTTAACTCATTTTTTATCTCTTGTGGGCCACTCAGAATCACTTACATGAGATGGGCAGCCATACAAATAGAGGCAATCATGTTTGACTGACGATTTACGAGCTTATATGAAAGTATACCAATAAGAGGGAGGTCTTGCAAACTCCGTTTTGCACCAGCCTTTTTATAAGTCATGCATTTCATTTAGATAATAGAAGTCAGCTGATAACTGACTTTTTTCTTTTTTTAGAAATTGACAAAATTCAAAAGGGTGAATCAAAGAAGGATGAAGAAGAGACCTATCTGGACTTGTTTTCTCATAAAAACATGAAACTGAAGGAACGAGTTCTTATACCGGTCAAGCAGTATCCTAAGGTGAGATACCTGTAACATCTGCAAAAGGATTACCTTCACTTTATGACCACTTTCGGATTATAGAACTGTAATAATTATATTAGCATAAAACTGTTGGGAACCAGATATTTCCCAGATATGTTGGACCATCAATCTATATTTGCCACAGTTGTAAAGGGAAAGTGAAGCCTGAGAAATTAAATTTCAAAGGTAAAAAAAAATAGTGGGCTGAGGAATAGGGAAGGAGGTTGGCATCAAGCATCCATTCCTGCAGTGGCCTGAATATATGACTGGTAGAATCCAATAAGGGCAAGTGTCTGAAAGGATGAAAAGAAGGAAGAATGGCAATCCAAAATACATATAGGTTTAGAAGTGGAGGGGGAAGCAAATGGGCCCAAAATAATGGAATGAAAGAAAATAAGGGAAACCAGGAAAAAACAGCAAGGATAGTATAGAAGATACAAGACATGTAGCTTTTCAATGTGTAAATCACAAGCAAATGCTACAATTGCTGATCTCCTAATTGTGACCTGAACCTGTGTTTGGTTCTATTCTTTTACGTCTTAATATAGGTTTGGTAGGGGAATAAATAATGCAGCAGATGGTAATTTGGTAAGTAAAGAGCCATGGTGGCACAGTGGTTAGAGTGCAATACTGCAAGTTCCTTCTGCTGCCTGCTGGCTGCCTACAATTTGGCAGATCGAATCTCACCAGCCTTCCATTCTTCTGAGGTTGGTAAAATGGGGACCCAGATTGTTGGGAGCAAGATGCTGACTCTGTAAAAGGCTGAGAGAGGGTAGTAAAGCACTGTAAAGTAGCATATAAGTCTTAAGTGCTATTGCTATTGCTGAATGATGTATTCAGAATTAAAGCAGGATTTTTCTATAATGTAATGATGGAAGTTATTCTGCAGAATTGCCGTGTTGCTTTCCTGCCTATACCAAAATTCAGGATGCTTCCCTTTTTGGTTGGAATACTGAAGTCAGCACAGTTGCTACTTATAAATAATAAAGTTGTGCTGCCCACCATCATGACAACTGAAGAAAGTTATCTTTTCTTTCAGTTCAATTTTGTTGGGAAGATACTGGGCCCCCAAGGCAACACCATCAAGCGATTACAGGAGGAAACTGGAGCGAAGATTTCTGTCCTAGGGAAGGGATCAATGAGAGACAAGGCAAAGGTAGGACTCCCTGGACAAAATTTTGACTTTGAGTATCTAATGCAACATTTACTTATCTGTCACCTTTTGTTACCTGCAGATTGACACTGTAGCTTGAAGACTAAAGGTATTTCCTGAAGTTAAATGAATCTTGAGGGTTCTACTCTCAGCCCCCAGACATTGCAGTGTGACCAAGCTCTGAACTGATGTACATTCCTCAATGGCTTTTAATGAATACCTCATTAAAAGATTTTTCTGACTGGACTTAGCACATTGCATGATGTTGAGTTTGCAAATGGATTAGCAGATTAAAAAAATGTTTATTTGGATAAATAATTCTGATTTTTTGTTTCCATAGAAATTGAGAAAATGGGTTATAATTTCAAAATGGTTGCCTCCAAATTTAAACATCTTCAGGCAGCCCCAATATTTTGCAGTTCTATAAATGATCTGGGCAATAATCCTATTCAGGCTTTTACTACCAATGGACATGAAACACTTGAAGTGGCCAGCAGGAATATGGGAGGGCTAACCTCACCCCCTCATTGAAACATACCTCCCCCACCCCCAAAAGACATAATTAGTATCAGTCTGAAGTAGGATCTTATCCTTGCAGAAGGCATCCAAATTAATTAGGATTCCTATGTCAATTCTCTATTCTGACTGCCACTTTCAATTATCAAGAGTGTGGGCAGCAGGCATATCAATGTTACAGAAATGAGAAGAACTGAAAGAGTCAAGAACTGAAAGAACTGAAGGATTACCATGATCCTTCTACGGTAGCTGTACTGTATTTAACCTTCAAGGATCACCATGAGCCACAGTGATGCAGCGGTTAGAGTGAAGTACTGCAGGCTACTTCTGCTGACTGCCGGCTGCCTGCAATTTGGCAGTTCAAATTTCACCAGGCTCAAGGTTGACTCAGCCTTCCATCCTTCCGAGGTGGGTAAAATGAGGACCCAGATTGTTGGGGGCAATAGGCTGACTCTGTAAACTGCTTAAAAGAGGGCTGTAAAGCATTATGTAAGTCTAAGTGCTATTGCTATTGTCCTCAAGTATAGCCTTACAATGAGAAAATAATGACGACTAAATTTTGTCTTTAATTTTAACAGGTAGAACAGTCCTAATTCTTAATTCCTTCACAGTACCATAAGTTTTTATCTTGTGCTTGATGGATAACATTAAGAAAAGCTAGGAAAGAAGAACAAATCTTAGCTGTAATCAGATGTTAAGAAGTAATGTGTGATTAAGAATGGTTTATGTCTATTTTAAAACCCTAATTATAATTTATTTTTGTTTCCAGGAGGAAGAATTGCGCAAAGGAGGCGATCCAAAGTATGCTCACTTAAATATGGATCTGCATGTTTTCATTGAGGTCTTTGGCCCTCCCTGTGAGGCTTATGCTCTTATGGCCCATGCCATGGAAGAAGTCAAGAAGTTCCTTGTTCCGGTATGTAACAGTTACCCCCCGCCCTTCTAAATGTTGTGCATAAAGGCATACAAGTACATATGACCACAAGGGGCTTATGACACCACTTCCTATTCTATCATTGAGTCACCACAATCATTTAAACATAATATCTATGACTTGCAATTTTACTTTTGTGTTCTTCATTTATTTCTGCTTGTCAGAAGCCAATTTTGATGACCACAGGACACTGCAACATAAACGTCATAAATGTGAGGATTGGTCACAGCTCTGTTTTTAACGTCATCATAACACTGAACCATCGCTAATGAGGCAGTCGGTAAAGAAGGACTGCCTGTATTTGCTATCTTAGTTTTCTATGTCTGTTTAACCTTGGGAATTAATTGAGTCAGCCTAGCTGTTGTTCCTTCAGACATTTTCTAGAAAAATGGCCCCTGGGCATCCAAAGACACAAGAATTTGAAATGTTTTGCAAAAAAGAGTTGGTAAACGTCTTAATGAAATAGAGAAATTCAGACTCTTTGGATGGGAGACCAGGAAATATCAGAGCTAGACAGGGAAGGGAAAAAAATCTGAGGAAAAAGGAATGGTGAAACCTTTCCGTGTTGTCATCTTGAAGGACAGGTGATGTGTTTCTTCTAAAGATTCAGTTCCTCATTACACAGTACAATCTTACTTTGGAGAAAGTGTCGGAGACTCACCAAAACAAAGGATCCTGGAGGAAGTAGGCTATCTGGTTCCTTTGCGGTCAGGATTCCGAGGTAGATATGGCAACTGAAACAGCACCACTCATTCTTATGGATGAATGCTTGATACTCTTCCCTCCACTAATGTTGTTGCATCCTTCTGGACCACTTGTGAGATAAGTCCTGTTAGGTAGAGAGATGAAAAAAAGAGCCCTTGGCCACTAGTGAGTCATATGTTGGCCCTGTTCAGCATCTATATGAGATGGGTCATCTGCCAGTTCAAAATGAGGGATAATCAGTATGCTCTTGATATCAAGTTGATGACCAAAGGAAAGTTCTGGTGGGCATCTGAATCTGGTTAAATCTCAGTGAAACAGTGTTGTTTATTTCTAATTTTCCAAATTCCTACTTCTTTCTGATGGAATTGCTCTCGCCTACAAGAAGCAGGGCTTTGGGCTCTTGGTGTAGCACATGAAGACGATGGCTAGAAGAGCTACACCTACCAAAGGCTGGTGTGCCAGATATCTCCATTCCGGAATAAGGTGCTGTAACATCAGTCATCTGTCATCTGACACTTGGATTATTCATTGTGAGCCCCGTTCGATGTTGTGATTGCAAGCACCAAACCAGAAACTGGGACGCCATGAGTTTAGTACTGCCTTCGGCAGCTGGGTGGGTTTGAGCCAATCCCCTGCCTCAGTTAGGGAAGAAGATAGTGGCAAACCATTTCTAAAAAATTTGCCAAGAAAAGTCACTAGGAGTTAAGACTGAGGCACAAAGGCGCAACCTACCAACCTTCCTCTGCCTATGCATAAATTACAAGTGGTTTGCAAGACCCCTGCCTGCTTGTTGACTGGCCATTGTTAAGAATAAGACCCCTTTTATAAGAACTGTCTTGATCACTAATAGATTTCCTGTATGGAACAGGTCCTTATTATCTATGGGTCATCTTTTTCGACTGGGACCTCCGCTCTGTTCATTCTACCTGGCAAGTGCACATTTCGTTCTTCCAAGATGTCAAGAGAATGGAGTTTTCTTGAATGCCAAGACTTGATAGAATATTGCCTCCAAATTTTTTTTACATTTTACTTTATATTGATTACTGTAAGGTACTCAGTCTGTTATTGGGACAACTTATACATTACATGGAATAAATAAATAAATAAAATTACAACGACCTTTCAATGAAGTCACCAGGAACTGAGCTCAATTGGAATTGGTATTTTTTTAAAGAAGAAAACTGATTAATTTTACTATTTTCAAAGGCACTCTGCTACAAAAAATATATTTCTATTTTCTAAAAGTATTGTCTTCTTTATCTGTTTAAAACTTCCTTGAATCACAATTTTGTTAAGCTTTTTGCTTTTAAATTAAAATCCTTTAAAATAGCATTTTTTCCCTCTTAATTGCAAGAAGCTTTGTTCTTCCATTCAGAATATCTATCTTAAATTGTAAATTATATGCAAAAGTGCTTAAGAAAATGAGTGTTTTGCATTATATCTTAAAGGCTGCACCAACAGACCAGGTCTTTTTATGGATGCAGATTGTTTGTTTTTAAGGAGACTAAATAATTGGTGGATTTTACAAAATAAGAAGATACTGGTAATACAAGCCAGACTGTCTGACAGAAACTACATAGGCTAATTGGGACTAAAGTGTTAAAGGGAGAGAAAAGCAAACCAGAGAAGGAGAAGCTTGCCTTTTATTTTCATTCTAGCAAATGAGTGTCAGGTCCCAAGAACAACATGTGGAGTTACTTCTGAGTAATTTATTGTCCACATATAGGCAGAATCTTGCCAGATTAAAGCATTTCTCTGAATAATTATAGTTAACTCTGTTAACAGAATTGGTGGGGAAGGGCCGTCTTAACCCTATTCCTCCCTATTAGAATTTCCAAGCCTCTTTATCCTCTGGGAAAGATCTCCTCTCTCCTGGGATTCCAGACTACATTCCACCACAATGCTGTACTTTAACTTTCTCATACTGGCATGAACAAGAAAAGCTGCAAGATTGGTATATGGTAAAACAGGTTCACTAGAACAACTACAGATTAGAGCATTTCACAAAATTTGAAGAACTTAGTAAATCTGAAGAAAACATTTGAAGAACTTAGTAAGAAAGTGACTGTAATGGTTATCAATAGTTTAAATGCTTTTAAAAAAGAAATGGAAACTGGATTTGCAAGAATAAATAACGGATGTGAAAGAAGGGGTTAAGAAAATCTAAGAAAGATGAAAAGATTCTGCACTATGCACCATGGAGGTATGGTTGGAGAAATTGACAGAACTTGCTGAGATGGACAACTTGACCTTGATGAGAAAGAGACAATGTTTATTTTTATGATTGGAAATTCCTTATAGACTATTTGTATAAAATAAAAGCAATGAACATTTATGATTTTGATTATTAGATAATTTAAGGGAAGATGTTATTTTAGAGAGAAAGATTAAAATATAGTCATTTTACGCATTGATACTATTTAATTTACTGTTAATGTTTCTAATTTTAATGCTTCATATTTTAATGTTTCTAACTTTTAATAGCCTATATTGTTTTCATGGTACTGTAAGCACCCAGAGCCACTCAGTTGTGAGATAGGTAGCATATAAATTTAATATAAACAAACAATTGTACTTATAACTGCTGTGAAGAATATTGGAAGCCACTTTTTATATTTTTATATGTTTTTAATATATTTTCTTACTGCGCTTAGAGCCTTCTCTGTTATTTTTCTCTTTTATTTTCTCGATTCTAATTTAGTTTTTATTATTGCTTTAGTATTTTTAATAAAAATTATATTAGCAAATTAAAGAAACTATAAAAACTAAAATTATCAATTCTGTTTTCAACTATGGAAAACACTGAGACAATTGGACACTGGAATAAAACATTGCTTGAGACTGGTTGTCCTGTACTGTGTGTGTATTGTGTTTGATTTATATGATTTATATTTATATGGAATCACCATAGTGATTCCGCTTACAGCAGATTGCTTGAAGCCATTTGCGTACCCTTTGATGGAAGAGAGGTAAAAGTACACAGCAGAGACAGAAGTGAAAGAAGCAACTTAGATTTATTGGTGGATATTAGAAACATAGAAATTTTGAAGAGACAAAAGAATGTTTTGCAAAAACATGATATGCTCCTGTTTTGCAAACAGAATTTGCTGCTGAGTGCACAAAAATGGTCTTTCAAATTAAAATGCTCTGTATATAACAGAAATTAATTCTCTTTGTTTCTATATAGGATATGATGGATGATATCTGCCAGGAACAATTTTTGGAGTTGTCCTATCTCAATGGGGTGCCAGAGCCAACACGTGGTCGGGGGATCTCTGTCCGTGGAAGGGGAGCAGTTCCCCCTCCCCCGCCTGTTCCTAGGTAATGAACAGATTCATGGATAATTAATTTGAAATGATTAAGCATTAATATTGCACTTAAGTTTCAGAAAATGAACAAATGCCATTAAATAAACAGTAATTCTTTTTAGTAAATTTGGAAGAGGTCTGTGGTATGATGCAGTCCTGTTTAAAAAAGTGAGAACCATTATAAAAATTGTTCAGTTTCCTTTAGACAACAAATTTGGAATGTTGGTTTAATAAAGTATATTTAACTTGCCCTAGAACTTCATATATAAATACAAGAGAGAGGTGTTATTTTTCCAGCAGACTTCTTGCCATTCTTGTCTCTTTATTGTGGATCAGTTTTCATTATACCCACCCACATAGTTGTACTAATATATTTTGCAGTGAGCAAGGATGATTTTTGTCTAAAATGTCTCCAATGTCAGGCTACCTACCTGGTTTCCAAACTGGATTGAGGAGGGCATATCTTTCACTATTTTGCGGATAGTTTTAAGTGTATTGTATAGCTGACTTTTAAACATATTTAAATAGCAGTATTCCTTTGGTTCATCGTTTCCCAACTTTGGCCATTTCCAGGTGAAGTGACACACTAGATGTAGAATTGACCTCAGAACGCTGCAACCAATGTGTCCATTCACACTTCTGGGAGTTGAAGTCCACATATGTGGAAGTTGCCATGATTAAGAAACACTGCTTGAAGTCACCCTAACTTTCACTGTCCTATACACTTTTTAATTTGCCTCATGTCTTCCAGGGTCCGTTGATAGATTTGCCTTACATTTGAAAACATTGGCTTTCCAGTTTAAAAAGTCCCAATTGATTCAAAGATTGAATCTTGGAAAATAAACTATTCTGTAAAAAAATTTATCTTCCCCTTTAAATAAAAGAATCTGAGCCAGCTGTTTTGGTAGCAAATAATACTGCTTCCTCTTTCTTATCCATATTTTCTGATCAATCAAATAATAAAATAACTAACCCTCAGTTAGAGGTTTCAGACTCTTCTTAGTGCTAAACCAGGGGCCCCCAAACTTGGCAACATTAAGACTTGTGGACTTCAATTCCCAGAATTCTCCAGCCAGCATGGCTGGCTAGAGAATTCTGGGAGTTGAAATCCACAAGTCTTAAAAGTTGCCAAGGTTGGAGACGTCTGTGCTACACTAACTTATTTTTTAACTGACTTTGATAGATACTTAAACTTATTTAGACTGGGTTTCCAATGCTTTGTGAAGATAAATCATTTTTATCTCAGGTTGTTTTCCTGAGAAGCAACTGATCAGCCTTCCTGCACAGACCACCTGTATTGCTTTTTTCTGCCTTTTCTGAACAGAGGACGTGGTGTGGGTCCTCCTCCTCCTCCTCCCCGTGGAGCCCTTGTACGGGGTGCCCCAGTGAGGGGCGCAATTGCAAGAGGAGCAGCTGTGACCCGCGGAGTCCCCCCTCTCCCAGCAGTGAGAGGGGCCCCTGCCTCAAGAGCTCGTGCAGCCGGCATTCAGAGAATACCGCTTCCTCCTCCTCCTGCACCAGAGACCTACGAAGATTATGTAAGTAATATTAAACATTGGATGCTTGACGGTTTGAGAGCATCTTGGAAACAGAGTTGAAGAAGCTTCTTGGATGAGAAGCAAAAACGTCCTCAAAGAAAAGCCAGAAAGTCCAGTTTCCTCTTGAAAAAGCAACTTTGGGACAATCAGGACCTGGATGACTGAGAATCTCCATAGACAGTTGCTAGAAAGAAATAGCCGTTAGGAAATAGTTACAACTATGTCATGTAATTTTAACCCTAATCTTGAATTATCTTCATGATCAGTTGGATGATTTGCTAAAAAAAAATTTTTTTTTAAAGAAATTCTGTTCCATGGAAAATTCCTATGAGCCTCCTCAAGTTCAAGTGATCAATCATCTTTTCCAGATGAGTTTAAGGCTTTTTCTGCTTGATGGAATTTAATTAGAAGCACCATTCCCTTCCCTAATGAACCCCCCTGTGCAACTCTAGCTGCTTGACCGCCTTCTCTCTTTTTTTTGTCCATTTCAGGGCTATGATGATGCTTACGCTGAGCAAAGTTATGAAGGATATGAAGGCTACTATAGCCAGGGTCAACAGTAAGTCCTCCCTTTAGCTTTTTTTAAATTCCAGCTGTCTGGTATTTCCTAGAAAGTCTCTTGATTTGCTTATTACCCTTTCTACTGTTTGTCACCTGGGCTTGAATTAGTGAAGAATTACAAGATTTTTGACTGAGTTCTCTTTAGTTTTAGGACTTGTGTTGAGAGCAGATCACATATTTATGCAGAAATACTGAATATTCAAAAGGGCTCACAAGTTTTGAAATACCTTTATGATTGCATACTGCTTGCTCATTCTGGTATTCAATATACCTTCATTCAGCACTTGGCCTTTCTTGGCCCTATCTCCTTCTGTGTTATCATATACCTTTGCTACATAACTCTTTGCATTCATCTCTAATGTTTTCCCAACAAAACCAGTTCTAATTTTCATATAACAAAATGAGCAGGAGCACATACAACCTTTTTACTTCCGTCTATTTTTTTGTAATATACCAGGGGTCTTCGGACTTGGCTAGGAAATTCTGAGAATTGAAGTCTGGAGACTCCCTGTAATAAACTAAGCACGGCTGCTTCTGTTTTTGTTAGGTCTAATTCTACTGAGCATTCTGCCAAACTACAAAAATTAGCCTTGCTCTAAATTTTTCAGCATACATGCATATAGCTTACTGCTTCTCACTGACTATGTCAGTAAATTGCATGTCAATGTCCTGTTGGCATGCGTAGCAAAAAACCCTCCTGGGACATTTTTTTACTTTACTGACAGATCCATGCAGGCATAGAAGAAGCAAAGCCAGTTCTAAGGTTTTGGTGCAAAATGCACCATAGTTTAAAAAAAAAAAAAACTTTTCCTTCCTCGGGCCGTCCATTGTTCACTGTCCACCAATCCAACTTACACGTTTTATTTTGGGAAAACAGTCTGCACCTTTCGAAAGTCCAATGCATCTGACCTTGAGATTGCAAGATTTTCTCAGGTTGCAAATGGCATACGTAAATTCCTTTTCTTGTTCCCAACTCGCCACATATTCCAGTCATATCTATCCCCCTTCCTTAGCTTCTTTGTCAAGTTGCAAGTGGGAAGAAATGCCTTGCGAGTCAACCTTGACATGTATCTCTTGGTTAGTGTGATGCAGGGAACAAAATATTGATTTTTTAAGGAAGTCTTTCAGATATGTTATTCTATATTTAAGTAATGTGCTTTGGCTATATATGTGACATACATGAGTAAGACTAAAGGTGGTAACCTAGTCTACTGCTTTGTTTTCTTACAAAAAACTGTTTTGCAAAAATCTCAGATTAGGCCGTCTAAGTAATAGCAGTATAATATCTAGAAAACATCAACACAGCCTCTTCTTGTTCTTGCAGGGAAACAGAATATTACGATTATGGACATGGTGAAGCTCAAGAATCTTATGAGGCGTATGGTACGTCTGTGTGTCAGGGGATAGGAACACAGTGATTGTATGGATTCGAGCTTTATTCATTAATTGAATTTGGGCATCAGATGTTTTGCTCAAACAGAGATCCTATGACAAACTGGTAATGTTTTTAGGGATCACATTAAGAATATATTTATTTGGTTTTATTTATATCCCACCATTATTATTTTTATAAACAACAGAAAGTGGGGGACATACCTAATGCACCTTCCTCCTCCTATTTTCCTAAGAGCAATCCTGTGAGGTGGATTAGGCTGAGAGAATGACCCAAGTCACCCAGCTGCTTTTATGCCTAAGGCAGGACTAGAAGTCACTGTCTCCCACTTTCTACCTTGTGCTTTAACCACTAGACCAAACTAGCCCTTACAAATTGGAGCAATGAAAAGCAGCTTCAGGGCTTTATACAGAAACTTCAGTCTGGAATTTATTCCAGATTGGACAATACCAAACTTAGGGTATTTTTAGCATAGTTTCTCCATTTTGTTTCAACTCCACACAGACCCTTCCCCCCCCCCCCCCCCCCCCCCCAATAGTCTCTGCCTTTTGGAAATCACTTGTCTGGCTTTGAGGTACACCCAAAAGGGCCTGTGTCTTTCTGGACATTGAGCCCAGATGCCCTTGCTAATTAATTAGTGTGGTAGGAGCAGATGTTTCAACTGGTTTCCTGCAGCCATAATGAGAAAAATAAGATCTGTGGAACACTTCAGGGAAACAACAGTGTTGATTGGAGTACAAGTCATTTGTCCAAGGGGGAATTGATTTTGGAGGTATTAGGTAGAATTCTGTTGAAATTAATATGCAGTTTTGGGAGTTTTAGCCAATCAAAAGAAAATAGAAACATACATGATTTCCTCTTGTTTTACCATCCTAAGCCTTTGGTTCCCCCCCTCCTTCTTCTATTAAGTATTTTGGATGAGCTCCCTCTTGTGTGCCAGCTTTTCTTGGACCTATGAGAACACATTTATACTGTCACTTTGCTGACACTAAGCAGGTGGGAGTATAATTGCAGCTCTTAAGCTCAGCATAAGCCACCTTAATTCCTAAAGGGAGAATATAACATGCTAAGTAAGTGGTTTAAAGGAAAAAAACAAAATGGTTGGAGGAAAGCTTGAAAGCAGCATTTAAATCTCACTGTATGTGTTCCGATATGAGCATAATATGGATATGCAGAGTTCACTAATCTGCTGATCTGTAACATTTCCAGGACACTTATATCCCCAAACTATTCAGCCACCCTGGGAAGAGTTTTGCACATAACAAATGTGGAGAGACTCACTCTTTTTCTTGAACAAGCTGCTCCTGAATAAAAAAAGTAGATAGGCTCTCGTTAATCCTGTTTAGGGTTGTCCTGGTGGAATGCATAGTTTCATTCGAAGACATGATAGCTGGGGAATATTGGGAGGTGAAGTCCACACATCTTAAAAGTTGCCAAGATGGAGAAAAAGTGGCACAGAAGCTTTCCATCACTAAATGCATGAATCAGTCTGAAAAGACCCTGTTTAGTGGCCTCTCACAATCTCTTGGTTAATGGGATCATCCTTGCCCCAGAGTTGCTACCCTTTTCCTCTTAGCTAAGTGGGCAAATGTGATGGGTTTTTTTGTTTTTTTTTCATCTCACAGGTCAAGACGACTGGAACGGAACTAGGCCTTCGCTCAAGGCCCCTCCTGCTAGGCCAGTGAAGGGAGCCTATAGAGAGCACCCGTACGGACGCTATTAGAACATTCAGCAGGGCAAATCACCCTTTTGAACAAACAGTTGTTTCTGATTCTAGTGTCTCCCAGGATTCCTCTTGCTTTACCACAACAGACAAGTAATTGTCTCCCTGATTTTTCTCTGGCTCCCTTTTTCTCCCACCTCCATCCTCCCTGACCACTTGACCCTACATTCTGCGTCTGTATGTAGTATTTTAAATAAGTTAGAGTTAGAAAACTGAATTCAACTTTTAAGTGTGTAGACTGCTTTTCTTTCTCTGTTTAGATTATATATAAAAACAACAACTGTACCTTTAAAAAGAAAACTTTGAGATAAAATGTTAGTTTCCAAAGTGACATGCTTGCTTAACAGTTATGGAATTAAAGTTTGTTAATCTTTAAATTTTTTTGTTTTGTTTTTTAGGCAACCCATAAAAGTTCTAGTTGCAGAATCCCAAAGTAGGCTACATTTCAAAATTCAGAGTTTTTTTTTAATGAATTAAAATGTAACTGTAGTAATTGCCACAGTTAAAAAGCAAGGTCAAATGTCAAAATTTTGCCCTTAACAGCAAATTGCTTGATTAATCTTAACTTTAAATATCAATAGGAAGGCTCCTCTAGAACAAATTAAATGGTGGGTTGTTTTTTTCTTCAGTAGATTTAATTTTTTTTTTAAAAAAAAATTAGGTTTGTAGAAAGACTTCCAATGTGGATATTGAAATTTGTCCCCGAATTCTGGGATGCTAAAGGCAGAGGTTTTCAAGCAAAAAGTGTTCTTAGCTCAATTGTGCATGAAGAGATTTTAAGAAAATGGACATCTAGCTGCTCTGTAATTTTATATTGCTCTAACTGCCCAGTGTTTTGATATTAAGAAATATTAAATATAAGTAGCTGTGCATTGTGTCTTTTTTTCTTTAATGGAAAGCTAACACGAGTGTTTGCAGTACATATTATAGTTCAAGCTTACAATTGGCAACATTATCAAGCTTTTAGTCATTCCAGTGACATGTTTGTGTGTCTCGACACTCGTATTATGTTAAAAAGGGACATTGCAGCTGAAAAACCAAGGAGAGCTTATTTTGTACATAGATTTGTACACTGTCCTCCCATTTTGTTCTTGGAAGATTAAATGCTACTACATGTGTAAGCTTGCCGAAATAGGTAGCTAAAATTTGTCAAGATGTCTGCAGCAGTTTGTCAATAAAGTTTAGTCCTTTTTTTTAATCAAAGTAAATGTGATGAATTGTCATTTTTTTTAAAATTCTGGTCAAGCAGTAAAATAGATTTTCCTCTTTCAATAAAATTTAAATTAATGTTAAACAACATGGTCTGTTTTCTTAAAACAAAAGACTTAAAACCAGAAGAGATAAAATGGTATACTCTGAAACTTTAAAACTTTATGAAGTCAAATGAGCTTAATTTTAAAACAAAACTGTTTTTCACCCCCTGGAAGTTGAACAAGGTTTCAAGCTGCTACATAAATGTTTTGTTTCACCCTCCTTCAACTTGCTGTTCCTGGGGAAGTACTAGATTTCTTCCTTCGTCCCCAAGTTGTGGGTGGTAAGAACCATAGTCTAATCTTTCTAGAGGCCACTGGCTAAGGAAAGCCTTTCCTTTCTCTGCCGGCTATTGACCTTCCATATCTGTAGGCAGTGATTCTGTGCTGTCACCTTGCAACCCGAGTTGATTTCAAAAAGGCACAGCCTCCTCCTGTCCCCCAGCCCGCTTCCTTTTGGGGCCGCTTGCCCGAAGCACGTCCCCATGGACTGTACTCTATAGAACACCAGGCATGGTTGGGCCAAACCATTGCCAATTTGTTCAGTGTCCTAGAAACTAAAAGTTCTTTATATGAAAGAAAAGGGGTCAGAGTTCTTAACAGTCAAAAGTAATGGCTTATGCCGGGGCAGGCAGATCATTTGCTATGGCCCACGAGGGAGGGGCATAAAACAGAACATTGCAAAGCTGGCCAGTTCACACAGCCTCAAGTCACTAAATTCCTGCCTCCAAGGAGAAAGAACTACTTTCCCTTTGGGAAAAAAAAAGTCCAAGCCGCCATTGGCTATAAGCCTAAGTGGCTATTTGTTCCTGGACTAAAACCAGAATAGTTGGCTATGTAATATTGTGGCTTGTCTTCTTGGCCATTTTTTAAAATTGGATTTTCACTGGGGAGGAACTGCTTGGGGGTGAAAAAAAACTATCCACTGTTACTGTCAAATTGCTCACAGAAGTGCATGATTGAGGGAAATTACTTTTAAAAACCAAAAACAAAAAAAGGTTGTTATTTGTAGATTGTTATTTTAAAAAAATGTAAATAACTGAATTTTCCGCAACGGTTTGGAGTCAGCTTTCAGGGTTTAATGTCTTGCTTGATGAAAAGATCGCCCCAACCCCCCTTTTAAAGGAAAATTTTCGCAGGAGAATTCAGGATGTCTTAAAGCTAACATGCACCGAAAAACTCAAAAGGTAACCTAAATGTCTGATTTTAATAGCGCATTTCTTTTACATAAACTGTGACGGCAACTTGCATAAACTATTTAGCACTGAAATTCTTCAAGTGTTAACTTTAATGTAAAAGTTGGTAAAAAGAAAAAAAAGATGTTTTAAAAGTAGATACTTAAAATATATCCACTTGCATCTGCATAAATTAGTAATAATGTTTTAATACTTGTGCTCTTTTGTCAATGTAATGAACTGTAAACCTTGGGCAAAAGCAAAAAGATTTAAATCTTAAATATAAATATGGATGTAGCTAGTCCTGTGTTTATCAACAAAATCCAAGTAAAAACTCAGCCCTTATTTACCCATTATTGCTGTTCACTATCTTAAAATGCCCATTTGTAGGTTTTAAGTTGCATGTTTCCTTTCCCTGCAGCGTTAAATTGCATGCAAAAGTTATGTCAAAATTTATTTCAAATTGTGTGTGGTGGTGAGGAAACTTACTCTGCCTTTCCATTTGCAGGTAGCGCTCGGCAGTTTGGGTGAAAGTGACATTTGATGAGAACATGTTGGGTATGTTTATCTATTTTTGCTTGTCTGGTTTTGAAACCATATTCTTGCAGTTTGCATAGGTTATTTTTGCATTGGCACTGTCATTTAAGTTTTAAGAGGTCGTCTGCAGTATTACATCTCCCCATTTGGTTGGCCTGACTACTCAGTTCCTGCTAAGAGATGGAAGCTGGTTGTCCCCCGTTTTGGGGAGGATAGGGTAGAAGCCCACAAAGAGCTGTTTTGCAGTGATATGGTTTGCCATCTAGAATGGCCTCTCAGTGGAGATTTCTTTTTGCCTAAACATTGCCTCTCTTCTGGAAAAAGCTGAAGACAAGTATTCTTTTTAAAGTACATACTTTATTGGGTGTTATTAAGGCTTTATTTTAATTTTATTTATTTATTTTACATATATCCCACCTTATTTTTTTTTACAAATAACTCAAAGCAGTGAACATATGACTCCTTCCTCCTATTTTCCTGACAACAAACCCTGTAAAGTGTGTTAGGCTAAGTGTGTGACTGGCCCAAAAATCAGCTGGGTTTGGCTCAGAGTCTCCCAGTCATGCTTTCATGCTTAAGGTAGGACTAGAACTCACCGTCTCCTGGCATTGTCACTCAGCTTTCTTGCCTAAGGCAGGACTAGTACTCACCATTTCCTGGTGATTGGCACAAGGTCACTCAGCAGCATTTGATGCCTAAAGTGAGACTTGTTGTGGTTAGCCAGCAGCAGGTGCGGACGGCTGAGGAGAGCGAGGACTCAGATGAGGGGCCAGGACCATTAGGGAATGGACTGCTGCCTGCAGAGATTGTGGGGGCTGGCAGCAGCAATGAGGTTCCCGACGAGCCTGTGCCAAGTGCGCACAGGGTTGCTTGCAGAAAACAGCTGCAGCAGCATGGGTAACTCGGGAGTAAGACTGCAAGGTAATGGCCCTTCCTTCAAGCAGATAAAAGCCAGCTGTGAAGCAAACGTTCTTCGCAGGAAGCAAAGACGTTTTGAAACTCAGTCTCGTGGACATTACAATATCTTAGGTTGGTATTTGAAGACTCTTGTGTTGTAAAATATTTCTTATCTGTTATTCTTGGCAGCCTCGCACAGTTTTGGTGAGGCTTGTGCTTATCAAAGTTAATTAATTTGCAGCAGCCTTTTACCCGGGGATTCATAAGAATAACTAAAAGGTTTCTGTTCCCTTTGGTTCATGTTTGTTTATTGGAAAAAGGTTTGGGTCAGAACAAGACTAGATCTCACAGTCTTTTAGTGTGATGCTTTTGAGCCCGATGCTTTAAGCCAGGAGTGTTAAATCCACGGGCTGGATGCATCACACGCAGTCCATGCCCACCCCAATTCCACAAATGGGGGAAACTTCGCAAAATGTCATGTGACGGCAACATGATATGCCAGGAGTTTGACACCCGTGCCTTAACCACTAGACCAGGGGTGTCAAACTCGATTTCATTGAGGACCGCATCAGGGTTGTGTTTGCCCTGGGGAAGGGGGGGGCATGGCTGGGGTGGGTGATGTCACTCGTGTCGGGGGGTGCCTGTGGTGGCCTGAGTGGCTCCCATGCTCCATTTTCGGCTGGGATGGCCACCTGCAACCCTCTGATTCATGATTTTTTTTCCTACCATAGACTAACATGACTCTCTTCCTACAATGAGTTCTGTATGGGTCTGAAGATGCAAGCTACCTCTTAAACTGAAAGTGACAAGTTTCTTGTATGTAATGGGAACTAAAACATATCTTGGCTTCCAGATGGATGTCTTACTTTCACTGTGATTTCAGGGGCAATTTGAAAAACATGAATATTGTGTTTTGGGGGCTCTGACTGTAAATCACTAAATCATAACTGTGCCACTGTTTTATTGGTATGTTACTGTTGAACATAACCAAAACATTAAGTGATATATTTCAGTAACTTTCTCCATTTTTCTCCAAATAGGCGGAGTCTTCAAATCAAAGAAGATGACTTGGAAACAACTTTTATAATAGAACACATTCTTATCAAATCTTGGAGATTTTCCAATCTTTTTCAACTCTATATGTACTGGACAGGACTTCAGGGCGGTTTATTTTATAGATAATGTAGTCCTTCCTATTTAGCTTATTTCCCTAAGTTTTGGTTGTAAATTTGGAAGTACTATAAATTCTGCCTAACATAAAATGACACTGCAGACTAACGCTTATGGCCTATGTAAAGTGTTTCAACAAGATTTCAATAATTTGGTAATTTGTTGCTCCATAATTACTCCGTGCACTTTCACATTTTAAAAGAATGCACTGACTTTCTAGAAATTCCTCTTTTTATGGTTAGTGCTGGAACAAAGGAATGTTATTTGGATCTATTTTCATGTGCTATGATAGTACAATTCATTTGAATAAAGGTTCCTTTTTAAAATAAATATGATTTTATGTTAATCATTTTGCTAGATGGAGCAACCTATGGACGTTCATTTGAACTTTATTTTTAAATTATAATTCAGCCTTCATATGGATCAGGCAAAATCATTTATCACAGTATTGAAAGAAAGAACATGAAAAATAGAAAGTTTATTGTTACCAGGTAGGTAACAGAAAAAAATGGATTTAATTATAATTGCACCCTTCCTCTTTGAAATGTACACAACCATTCTGGATGGGACAGTTTAAGAAGAAAGATTCCTTCTGCCAAACAGTTCTCGGTCCTTCCTAACTTCTCAGGGTTACTAGAAGCAACCAAATTTTTTTTCACATATAGCACTTTCCAACACCTGTGAATGAAAAAGGGGGAATTGAGTACTTTCCCCCCCTTTTCATTCACAGCTGTTGGAACAAAAGGTCATAATAGTAGATATATTGTTTCCATTTTTATTAGCTTTGCAATATTTAACCCCTTGAAAAACAAATGTGGGGATTTAAAGTATGTTAGAATCTGCTTAAATATTCAAAGGATGTGCATATTTGTCAAGAAAGTGGCTGATCTAGTTCCTCGCTTTTAAAGGATCAGTGTTTGAAGTACACCTTCAAGTCAAATTTAAATAATTCAGTGATCAAATACTCCTCCAAAGTTTGGAGAGCAGGTGGGACCACAAAATAGTGTAAATGCACAGCTCTGGGAAACAGGTTGGTGATTCTA